CTGGAAACTGATTATGCGGGAGAGAAGATCATTACAGAAAAAGGCTGAAGAGGAAATTGTTTATTGGTATTCAAGCAGAGTACAAAGGTTACTTTTAAAAGGAACTGGTACACAAAACTCCACTGCAAGGGAAGAGATTATGTACGATGCAGCTAAATTGGTAGATCTGCAGCAGAAAGGCAAAGATGTTGCCTTGTGCATAGTTTGATTCCAGCAAGAAAAGTCAATGTCAGGGTTGGGAAGGAAGTGAGGGTTAAAAAAAAAAGAGACATGGAAGCTGTTAGGGTAGAAAAGTGAGTATATATAACTTTCATACACAGATGTGATTGGACTTAATTATAATAGTGAGGAAAACTTCTAAAACATCTCAAAGGCATCTTCATCAAATATTTGAAGATAACTTATTAGAAGATCTGACACTGTTTTTCAAGGACTCTGATAAGTCTTCTCTACCCACGTCGTGGAATTGAGGACTTCTCAAGTGTATGAGTATTTCTTGTTTTCTTAATTATGCTTGCCTGTTACAGAGTATATGGCAGAAAAGTTTGGGATATATTCTATTTGAAAAGATTTGAAAATTAAAACTAGTTTAGTCTTGAAAGAGGTATAGTATTTATTTGGGCTGTCAATATTCTCAAAATCCTATTTTGGAAGGGTTTAAGCTTCCATCTAAATTTTAGAAAGAAAAAATAAGTGTGTATCTATTATCCTTCTAGGATAAATTACTTTTGTTTTGTTTCCACATAGAAAACACTAAAATACTTTTACCATTTAGAAGTACAAAGGCAATATAAATTGTTTTGTCCATTGTTCCTCCAAACTTAATAGACAGGAATTTTTTTTTAAACAGTGCTTGTTGCTTCGTTGCTGGATAAGCTGTATCTGATGTGTGGGAATTTAAAGATGCATATTTCTTCTTTGGGCTTTATGTGAAATTAGATTGTGACTAATGGGATATGATTGTTCTCCAGATATTTGCTTTTGTAGCATAACCAAAATATTGATATGTTAATACACATGTAAATGTTTATTTGCTTAAACACTTTAGATATTTAAATGGCCACCTCAAATTTTAAATGGTAGATGTTCAATGCACTCAAAATACTAAAATACTAAGTATGAAACCCTTTGTGACACAAATCCTAAAAAAAAAAACAAAAAAAAAACAAAACTAAATTATGTATTTCTCTGTGTGACAGTCCTGGCTGTTGTAGAACTCATTTTTTAGACCGAGCTAGTCTCAAACTCCCAGAGATCCACCTGTCTCTGCCTCCCAAGTACTGGAATTGAAGGTGTGTGCCACCACAGTCCAGATAAATAGTATATTTCTATAAAATACCAAGATAACATCTGTCTAGAATGATTAATTTGATCCATCACAGAGCTTATATTTGACTAATCAAAACCTGCAGCCAAAATGTTTTCCTTCCATAAGTTAAAGACTTGCAAGGTCTTTCTTTACAGACTGACTTGAAGCTATTTTACCATCAAATGTTAGCAGTATAGCCACCTGTTCTCTACAGCACCGCATCATGTTCTCTCAGTTTGGAATCATATCACTATTTAGGGCATATATGTTTCTTCCCAGGTTGCTTATATAGTCTATGTTTTCTTTTTTGTTGTTGTTGTAATTACAGTATAGCAGAGGCAAAAAGGCAGCGAAAATCACACTACTTAAACTGCAATCCCACCTACTACCAACTTGATTACAGTACTGAAGTAGTCCAGGTTGGTTGGAAAGTGGTACTAGTTTCATCTCATAAAAAATCTACTATAGTATTCCATGTAAATTTTCATGTGCTGGCATGCATACAAGCTAATAGTGTCATAGAATGTCCAGCTCTCAATATGAGGGATTTTTTATGGTAAACTGCATTATGTATGTCATCTGTTTGCTGAAAACTATGGTGTTTAGCAAAGCAACCTGTTGAGCAACATAGAACGATTTTTGTACAAAGTACAAACTGCTAATTGTTGCATTTTATTTTTCTATGATTTCCTAAAAGGCATTATCAGGGTCTTACAAACAGAGAAATCCTGTTTATTAAAATATATATTACCAAATAAAAGTTACAGTTTCAGTGGTTCAATTTGTGACGTTTTGTACTGTTGTATGCAAGTATATTATAGTAATTTACTTTTCAGTGTATACTTCTAGGTATTGTTTAGAACCTTAATAATTCTGTATACAAAACATAGTTGTAATTTTTCAAAATAATTACAAACTTTGAGGTCCAGGCATAAATTCACACTTATCACTATAATTAACGGACACATATTTTTGTAGTGATTTTATACTGGCAAATATTTTATGAGATTCAGAGGAATGAAATTATGTATTACAGAGGTAGTTTATACTATACAGCACATACACAATATCTAACAAATCTTTAGACCATCACTGTCCACTGCAAGAATTTTCAGTAAATTATAATCCAGATTCTTTAGAAGTTGCTGATTAGAATATACATCTGTACTATTCTGAGTTCATTAGGAGTAACATATCCAATGTATCTCACTCTTTTATAATTGTCGAACTGTAGTTCGGCGTGAAAGGTGGTAAAAAGGTATCTAACACTCTCTTGGATGTGTCTTAAGTAGACTTGAGAAAATCACATACTGTTTTAAAAGCTTGCTATGTTCACAATAAAATCAAGAGAGTCAAACTAACTTTGTAAGTCACATGGAATAATTTTTATGTTGTGTTTTTGGGTATATTCAAGATAGGTTACAACTGTAAACCATCAAAACAGGAGAAGCAAATATCTGACATATTTACATTGTTTTAGGCCTCATCTTTTCAATGTTTTCTAGATTACCAAACAGAATTTATGTTTCATGTGAACTCTTTAATCTCTAATAATAAAGTAGCATTAACTACACTCCTCTAAAATAACTGTTCACCTTTTGTTCTTAAAATCAACTGAGTTGGGGATGAGGAGATGGCTCAGTGGTTTAGCGTTCTTGTGGCTCTTACACAGAAACTAGGTTTGGTTCAAACACTCACGCGGTGGTTCACAACCTTCCCGAATTCCAGTGCCAGCAGATATGATGCCCTTTCCTAGCCTCTTCATGACCATGTGGTACATACACATACATGTAAGCAGGCAAAGCACACATAAAATAAAATAGGTAAGTCCAATAAAATGTTTTTAAAGTATCATCTAAGTTTATTGTAAAGTTGGTCATTCAGTCTGTCTCTTATATTTCTAGTTTTCCCCAAATGCTTTGTACCAAGAAAAACTGAACTCATCTTAAAAAGGGCCTCAAATGACCTGACAGATCTACATGACCCCACCTGGATGGCATTGCCCTACATGTGGAATTGGGGTGGGGGGGATGGGAGGGGAGGGTGGTCAGGGTGCATGTGAGGGGGCAGAGAGGGTAAAAGGGAGGAAGGGAGGGAGGGAGAGGGAACTGGGATCGACATGTAAATTAATAAATTAAATTTAAAAAGGGCCAACAAAATAATAAGTAAAAACCTTTTCTTCTAGCGCATAAGCTCTAATCTATGTCGAAGGGGAAAATATTGTATAAGCAAATAAGCATCCATGTTTTGTCAAAGTGAGTCAAAATATTCAGGATCCAAGAGAAGTGTTTAATAGCTTCCTGGATCAGAAGTTAAAGGACAACCACATCAAGGGTTGAGTTGATTTTCTTTGATTAATAAAAAACAAGCAAACCAACCAACACAAAACATTCAGGACAAGGGAAAGTATATGAATACTTGCTATCATTCAGACATATGTACTTTTCTTTCTTTATTCCTCAAAACCACTAGATAAAATACCTTTTTGAAGATGAAATATACAAATAGGTTAATTTTCCTGGACCACACAGTAAAGTATAGCATATTCCCTTCATCTGTTTTAACAAGGATATTTATGTCATTGTATATATGTCATATACATATAGGAGGTTTTGTTCATTCAGTTTGTTTTTTGCCTTGCAAGAGTCAGGAGACCAGAAATATACCTTATTCCATGTTATGAACACCTGGGAATTTGGAAAAGCAACAGAAAAAGCACTCCATGGTAATACATGTACACGTGTCTTTATCACCATCTCTTTGATGGAATTTCCATTTTTTTTTTTTTTACCTCCATAGTCAGTTACTAGCCCAAATTAAAAAAAAAAAAAAAAAAAGTGTAATAGTTAAACATACAACAAGCCAGTGAAAATGTAAAATAACATCCCACACTTATGCTAACAAGTGAGATGAAGATGAAACTTTTTTTTAATGTAGAGATGAAACTTTTTAAATATGTTTGCCATGAAAGTCAGCCGTTGATGAGTATGATGATGAAAGACTAAACAAAAAATTCCGTAGATCTTTAAAATTGTGCATTAGAGAGCAATAAAAATGTGAGGGAAAGTGTCTATTCAAAAAAGAAAAAAAAAAAAAACTTTCAATTAGAATCCAGCTTTGGTGGTGTAAACCTTTAATCCCAGCGGGAGGCAGAGGGGAATCTCTGAGTTCGAAGCCAGCCTGATCTACATAGTGAGTTCCAGTACAGGCTGCAGAGGAATACAGAGAAACCCTGTCTAAAGTCCTTTCAATTAGCACAATTATTTCTATTGCTACAACCGAATGTAAGAAGTAAAATTGTTAATCAATACTTGATTAGCAAAAGCCTTTCCTGGCCACCAGGCTCTCTGATCCCGGGGGTGGGGGGTGGTGATCACAAATGCATGCCTGTTGTTAATCCCTCCAAGACAACAGACACCTAAGAGTCAGGGACAGAATCACACTTCCTTTGCCAAACATCGTCTGGGCGCCGGGTACTCGGCGCTAACCAGACCCCAGGCGTGCCGGACGCCACCTCCCAGAGATGCGCGCGCAGCCGAGGCTCCGGTGCACTACCCGGCATGCTGTGCGCGGCCCCCATCGCGTCCCGGCAGCGGCGGCTCCCAGCGTGCCGGCGGCTCCCCGTGGCTTCTGCGCTCGATTGCTCGCTCGCTCTCTGTCTCTAACAGAACTCCCCTGCTAGAAACGGGCCGCTTTTACCCAGAGCTCTTCAGCCGCAGAAGCAAGGACGCAACAGCGGACATGCCACAGCGCCCGAGGAGGCGTGGCTTTGGGACCGGAAGAAGCTCCCGTTGCCAAGGCAACGGCGCGCGCCTTGGCTCCTGCCCAGCCACTGATGCTCCCACTGGAGCCTAAGCCGCCGGTTCCCCCAGCTTGTAGGAGAGGCTCTGCCCAGGACAAGGGTAGGAAGGCATAGGGAGGAGGGCTGCGGCTCCCGGGGAAGATCCCACGGCGGAAACGGGGAGAAGAAGGCGTCCATTCCCGTCCCTGTCAGCCGCTCGGCCTTTGGATTGGCTTCGAAGATCAGGTATCTCCACCACCCCCCATCCCGCTTCTCGTCTGTCTCCATCTCCATCTCTGTGTTATCTCTCTGCTCTGTTGGGTATAATTTTACACATGATCGCTCTCACCTTTGTTAAACCAACACTGCCTTGTTGCGATGATTGTAGAGCTGTGGATCTGTCGCCAGAGTCCACAACTTCAGAAAGTTCCCGCTATCTGTTCGTAGCCATTTCCACCCCGGTTGCCGGAGGCCACCCTCTCCCTGTCCGATTTAGAGTAAGTTATTACCCACGTTTTCCAATATAAACGAGTTACTGTCTCTAATCTGTGAGAGAATTGAGTTTATGTGGTGGATAGATACTAAGGAGCCTCCAAAATGTGTGTAACTTTTTGGCGAATGCTGCTTGCTTGACTTTGAAGCTGCTCACGACCGGCTTCTTTATACGATGTATGAATTATTTAGTTGAAATATTATTATCAAGTATTTAAAACTGGGTATTATTGAATAATTGCGGTAGTAAGAGTGTGCAACAGTCCTCCCACTCTTCCAACGTGCTTAAAGTTTACAAGATAGCATTTCTGGAGTTGTCTCTGTCTATTAATCATCTCTCGCTACACCCCTCTCTCTAAGACTCTATGTGTGGGTAACATGCTACTACTAACTCTTTGGTACTTTTCTGGCGAGCAGTAATCCTTTGGAAAGCTAATTCTCAGAAAGCAGCTAGGAGGATTTGGCAAGAGTGAGATGAGAAACTGAAAATATCAGCCAGATTGTGAACAACCTTGAAACATGTGCACGTCCCACTGCCTTAAATACGTTAGGACAGAAAGGTTCAGCAATCTAAAAAGCCACACAGGAGTAGTGCAGTGCCAGTGTTCAAACCTACCTGATCTTGATTCAAGTACAAGAGTTGTTTCATTTTAGGAAGTTTACTTTATCAAATCTGCCAATGTTATACAGAACATACAGTAAGATTTTTAAAGCTGAAGGCATTTTTCCCCCTAATCTAGCCAATAATAGCTTTGTAGGCCAGGCTGGCCTCAAACTCAAAGAAATCCACCTGCCTCCAGAGTGCTGGGATTATGCACCACCACCACCCTGCCAGAATGATTTTTAATTTTTTTCTTTCTCTTTTTTGCAGGGCTTAAGATCAAACCCATGACTTTTGCACATTATATGCAAACACTTTATCATTTGCTACATAATTAGTCCCCAAGATCATACTTTTCTTCAAAAAAATTTAGATAGGCATGAGTTTATAAAGCTAATTTTTCCCTAGTTCCAACCCTATCATAGTTTTCTGGGGTTTTGTTTGTTTGGTTGGTTTTGGGTTTTTTTGCCTTTGTTGTGGGGGTTAATTATATGAAAAACATAACTGATAATGAAATTGTAAACCTTACACAAAGCTCAGTTGCTTTAGAAAAGTCCTAGCTGTAGAAGTTCACTGAGATATATAAAGTTTGGGACTGGGCAAATTTTTGTTGAATGGCTATTTTAATTTAGTTGTGTGGGTTTTTTATTTGTGAGTTCATTACAATGTAAAAACCTTAAAGTACTGTTTTGAAGAAATTCAGAACAAAATAGAGAATCCAAAATGGCTGTAATGATTTGTGATAAATCTCTTTATTCAACTACAAATCTCTATAGTTCACTCTCAGTGCTACAGACTGTTATTTTCAAATTGTCCTCTTATTGGTTAGCTAATCTTCCTCAGTCTCAGGGCGTGTTTGTTTCTTCTTAAGCCTTTTATGGACTTACCTTAGGTTAGTTGTACTTAGCCTTTGGAAAACTGCAACATGAAAAATAAAAGACCCAGAGACTGATATTGGAGTTCAAACGTCAAGATGAAGAACAGAAAAGCAGAGCATGGAAGCTACCAGAGAGCTCTCACCTCTGACAGGTGGGGTGTTCCTATTCTCAATGTGGCTGGATCATGAATGTCTCCTACCTCAGCGTGGCTGCAGAGTGAATGCCTCCTACTCAATGCTGAAGACCCTGCTTCTGTCTTTTATGCCCCTCAAAAATAACCAAAAGATAAAAGTAAATGAAATAGAGTAATAAAAAAGCCACGCTGAGGAGAGGTTACAGTCTGAGGCTTGGTGAGAGCTTGTGGAGACAGGATTAGCCCTTTCAGCCCGAGGTAGAGGTAGGAAGCTAGGTGCCAGCTGCTTTGCTTTCTGAATCCCCGGACAAGCTTTAATAAATCGTAAATAATGTATCACCACAGAAAACTTTGTTGTTCACTGCTTTGCTTTCTGAATCCCCGGACAAGCTTTAATAAATCGTAAATAATGTATCACCACAGAAAACTTTCTTGTTCAAGATTTTGCTTTGTCCCAACTTGAACAAAAATAAGGAAATGCAAGGAGAAAATCAGAAGAAACTGCTAAATCTCTCATATTCTGAAAAAAGAGACATTGATGAATGGAAACTTGCTGTGTTACGTGACAGAATATAGTGGTGTGTGAGCTGAGAGATTATGGCATAAACAGACCAACCAAAGAATAGATCAGGTTTCCAGCTTATTTTCCAAAAGGCTCCCATGGACAGCTACTCAAGTGCCCTCTTATCCATCTCATGGAGCTTTACAACTAGTGACCCCATATTAGAGAATGAAGCTCTTTAGAAACTTGCTTAAACGTTCTCAAACATGTGACCTTGCAATTCTTTTCAAAGCAATCCCTAAGAATTCTTTTCCAGAGAATACAGTTTAGAATGCACAGGTTGAGGACCTACTAACAGATTCAAACATGTATAAGAATATAAAATACAAAAATAAAATGAGAGAAAAGTTAGTCAATAAGGGATGATTGAAAATGTTAGCTAAAATGTTTAAAATACTGGACAGAGGAAATGTTTCTAGACCTAAAACAAGAAATAAACAACAAAAAAACTATCAATATCATCACATAAAAGTTCTGTATTATAAAAGCATAAAGGAAAATTTTAATTGACTAAAACGAGTTGCAGTTCTTATGCATGGTAAGGTTCCTATATGCAATAATCAGTGGAGTGGCCACCAAAATATGGTAGGCAGCTCATAAAAGAAATACCAGTAACAAACAGGTTTTGCAGTAATATCTCGTTTTACTAGTAATGGAATAAATGGAAAGTTAAACAGTTCTATGATAGAATCTTTTATTTTGCACATGAGAAAAAATTTGAAAAGCTGACTTTTCTTTAAAATTATATATTCCAAATTATTTAAATAGTAAACCTCAGGTGTTTGAAAAATAAAGTCACAAAAAGCTTGGAAAATGAATTTCTACGATAGAACTTTTAACAACTAATGATTTCTAGTACCTTCCTAGAGGGGGAACGTGTAAAAGAAAATAGGTCATAGTTTTGAAAATATGGTAAAGAACATATAAAAATATAAACATTTATATTAATATGCTTAGCACAGCATAGGATTTAATAGAAAATTAGAATTAAAATGATAAATATAAAATATTAAACAACATTATGAATTTAAAATGGATTCATCAAATAGATTCATCAAATGCCAACTCTTAGGCTGGGGTTCAAAGAAATGTTTTGAAACAGGCTTTGAGTCTCTAATATGAAAAGTTTTGAATTAGCACAAAGGGAAATACCTAAGGTCAGACCCATCCTTTGAATAAAAAAGACATCTTTCTTGTAGGCCCCACACATGGGGAGGCACTGAGATTTGCAGGCACATCATAAATAAAGGTCTCCTAAAGGCACTAAGCAAAATGTCAACTACACAGCCACTTTTCCTGTGCATTTGACTCAGAAGCTTCCTATTAATCACCTTGCTTCCCTTAACATCCCTTGCTTGGGGCACTATAGAATAAAAGCTATGAAAGGAGCTGTAACATGACAGAGTTATGTGACCTTAAATGAACACGAGAATCAATGAAGTGAATTAATGTCTCAGGAACTTTGGAAATGAGTGTGGAGAGGGTAAAGGGACATATTTATTACACAGGTGTATTGTGGCAATGCCAGTAGTGCTAGGTGGTTAGCTAAAGGAGTATTTCATTGTGTAACTCTTGCCTGTCCTGGAATTCAGGTGTGTGACTTCTGTTTCTGCTGCATTTGTTTAACTCTGTGAAGCAGTGTTGCTGAGGCTGTCTAAAACACCTGGTGGTCCTAATAGAGAGCTGAATAGCCAATAGCGAGGCAGGAGCGATGACAGGCAGGGCTGGCAGGCAGAGAGGATAAATAGAAGGAGAAATGAGAAAGAAAAGAGCAGCAAGAGAACAAGGAATAGAGGACATCAGGGGCCACCCACCCAACCATCCACCCAGCCAGCCAGCCAGCCACTCAACCATCCACCTACCCAGCCACCCAACCATCCACCTACCCAGCCACCCAACCATCCACCCACCCAGCCACCCACCCACCCACCCAGCCACCCAAACACCCAGCCACCTATCCACCCACCCAGCCAGCCACCTACCCAGCCACCCAGCCAGCCAGCCAGCCACCCAACCACCCACCCACTCAGCCAGCCAACCAGCCAGGCATGGAGTAAGAAGGAAACTAAGAAAGATAAAAAGCCCAGAGGGAAAAGATAGATGGGTTAATTTAAAGAAAAGAAAAGCTAGCTAGAGATAAGCCAGTCTAAGGCTGGTCATTGATAAGTAATAATAAGACTTCTTGTGTGATTTATCTGGGAGCTGGGTGGCAGGTCCCCTAAAAAGGACAAAAAAAAAAAAAAAACCCAGTAAAGATTTAAAAACATATAGGTCAGCTACTGCTGATGACAAAAAGCTTCAGAGTTCTCTAAAGAAATGGCCTGTGAACAATATAGCTGGTATTTAAGAAGTGAACGTGATTAAAGGTGATGGAAGAGCTCTAAAAGTGATGGAAGAACTCTTTATTCAACAGTCTCAAACTCCAAGCTTCCCTCATTACTAACATCTTTGCAATTACTAGTCATGCAGAAGCCAAACCAATCACAGAAATGCTTCCTGGAATATTAAGTCAGCTTGGTGCTGGCTGCTTAGCAAGCCTTAGAAAGTTAGCTGAACAGTTTCAGGACAAGTATTGGATAGCAAAGTACCAAAAGATGAACTCATTGATGAAGAAGATGGTGACCCACATCTTATAGAAAATTTTGGTGAAGCATTGAAGGATGAAGCTAACTAAAATCCTCTGGGTTCTGGAAGCTGTCATGGACTGGATTGGACAATCAGCTCTGTTGTTCCAAAGTTTTGTAGTCCGGACAGGAAGCTTCCGCCTACACTGGTATAGACTGTATTGAACAACCAGCTCTGTTGTTGGAAATTTTTACAGACACACAGAACATCACCTGTAGGCGGACTTTTCTTTCCTGCCTGCCAGTTCCCAAATAACCCACATGGAGACTCAATATTAAGTATAAATACTTGACTGATATATCGATCAGGCTTTTTACTAACTAGCTCTTACAATGTAAATTAACCCATTTATATTACTCTGCATTCTGCCACGTGGCATTACCTCTCTTTCATCTTGCATTTCCTGTTTCCTCTCTGTCTCTCTGGTGACTCTCCTGACTGTCCTTCCCAGTATCCTTAGTCTGGTTTTCCTGCCTAACCTTACCTGTCCAGCTATTGGCCAGTCAGCTTTTTTGTTAAACCAATCACAGCATAATTTACACAGTGTATTGAAGGATTATTCCACAGTGGTCACCTGTTACTAGTTCAGTATTATAAATATTTTATATATTAATAATGCTGTTTGTTCAACATTTCTTGGTCATTTATTTTTGCATTTTGTACTTCTTCCAAAGATCTATTCTTTTGGTCAAAATATGAAGTACTGGTGAAGTTTGAGGATGTGTTTTTGTTTTGGGGGGAACTTTTGGTATGTATGTATATGAGTATACACAGTGGGCAGCAAATTGGATAGGGGCTATATCTATCCTCCTCCTCCCAGTAAAATTAAAACAAATCTTTACCCCCCCCCAAAGAAAATAAAGAAAATGCAAAGATTGAATTTAGTAAGATTGACTAAAATTGTTCCATTATTCCCAAAAAAATTAATGGTGAATACAGAGATGTCTGAGACAGGTGAAGTGAGCTTAAATTTTCTGTCTGTTAATACAAAACCCAAGACAAACTGAAAATAACCCTGCAGAAAACAAAAACAGTGAAATGTTTATAATTACATATTATTTCAAAATACAGCCATGGCCTTGTTTCAGATATTTATGTAGTAGCTAAACTGATTCTGTTAAACCCTGGGCTTTTGCTGTCTTATCTTCTGCTTTTTGAGCTTTAGCCTCAGACTGTAGCCGGGTCTCATTGCCTCTGCAGTGTTCCATACTTGTCAGACTCTCACTCATAAATACCTCTGAAAACAATCGGCAAACTCCACTTGATACTGAAGCTAACAAGAGCTTCTTCTTGATTATTATAAATATGATTGTCTCAGGGATGCTATTCCTTGTTGTCAAGAGTTATAAGCTGCCAGTCTGCAGAGAAGGCTCCTTTCTGATAATCGGCTTACACTGTTTACTAGGAGTAAAGCCACACCAATGTGCTTTGTGTGCTGCCATTATCCTTACATTTTTATGTACATACTAATATATTCCATATGTAAGGTACCTATGAAATAATAATTTCTTTCCCTTGCAGTTGCTTTGTAAATATTGAAATCACATTATGGGATTGCTGGACAGACTTTCAGGTTTACTAGGCCTGAAGAAGAAGGAGGTTCATGTGTTATGCCTTGGACTGGATAATAGTGGCAAAACGACGATCATTAACAAACTTAAACCTTCAAATGTAAGTATCTCTGTAATGTTTGACATTTTCTGGGCCTAGCGAAAGTTATGCCATTACTTTGAAGTTATAATGTTGTGAAGTCCTGCTAATCTTACTGTCGCTGCATATGCCACATATTTATGCAGTATGCATTTAAATCTTGATTATTAAGCTGAAATGTTCTTTTTCTTCCTTTATATTCCTCTAAAGAGCTTCACAAATTGACTAAGTTTATAGGTTGCACTGACTTTATTTAAATTTCTTCTTCATGGGAAGAACAAAAGGAAACATGCCTCATGTTTCTAAGGTCTATGAATAATTAGTGCTGTGCATATTGGTGACAGATATTGATTTTGAGCAACATATGGGTGAAAATATTATTTTCTTACTGAGAATATATAAAGCTTGTGCATGCAACATATGACTCATAAATCAGAAGTAGGTTTTGTGGCATATAATTCCTGATATAATTTACTGAACCTTAAGCTGTAACTGTCCTGGTTCAGAAAAATTGACCTGAATATCTGAAGAGCTATCTCCACCCATCCTCTAAATCTAGTAATAATGGCAATAGCCACCATACTTTTATTACCCAAATGCAGGTTCACATTTCTTTCACCTTATTTTAAATTCATCACTTGTGAATTTTCATCTACATTTTGGGTGCTATTTTTAGTTAATTAACTATATTAATCATAGTTCTGTATTAATCATACAGTGTTCTGTTAGGAAAAGCCTTACAAGACTGCTCCATATTTCCTTGTATATATAAATAAAATTGATTTTTTTGATAACTAGATTTTAGACTTAAACTTATTTTTAAGAATAAATTATGCTAGTTTTGTATTTGACATGATAAATATCCTCAGTTGAGAGGGTATTTTTCACCCAATCACCCTGTGTAAGAAAGAATGTAATTTTGGCCCAGGCATGGTGGTATATGCCTTTAATCCTAACACTCAGAAGGCAGAGGCAGGCAAATCTGACTACATAGAGTACTCCAGGTCAGCTAGAACTGCAGGGTGAGATCCCCCTTTTGTGGGGAGGGGAAAAAGTATCTGGATATATCTTGAAAATTTCCTAAGCAATTTGCATACTCATTTTATAGTATGCTACATATTCAGTTGATGCCTCAATATCAAAGAGCCCTTGACTTGTCAAGCATTGAATAACAAATACCCAGAATGAGGATTAGCACTTAAATATCTTTTAGATTGTAAGTAAATAGATTGATGGCTATTATTATTATTGCTATTGTTATTATAATTATCATCATCATCTTTGACCATGGGATTTTGTTGGCTACATGGAGATAGAATTTCTAGCAGAGTTGATGAAACTAAGATTTCTCTTAGGAATTCTGTTCTGTTGATTCTGGCCTAATCACTGCTGGACTCTCATGGTCCAGGCTACACTCCTTCCTTTCTTTTTCCATTCCTATTCAATGATTGGATGATTCTTTGTCGGGGAGCTGGGAGTGAGCGTGTGCTATTGTGTGTGTAAGGAAAGGTATGTGCATGCGTACGTATGCACATGAAAGCCAGAGGCTGACTTCACGTTTCTGCCTCAGTTTCTCTCCACCTTGCTTTTTCAGCCATAATGCCTCACTGAATCTGAAGCTCACAGATTCTGCTAGAGTGCTTGGCCTATGAGTTGCAGGATATTCCCTGTGTCCATTTCCTGTGTATGTGCTGTACCCAGCCTCTACTCTGAATTACTGCAGGGGAAAATGAGTTCCATACAAATCTACTCTAGCCTAGTTAACTTCTGAACCTTCTTTTGTGGACTATTTCCATTAGAACTTTTGGAGGAGAAATAGTTGAGAGATTTCATCCCTTCAGGCTAAATTTTAAAGAGGAGTTTGTGGAGAACCTAGGTAGTTATGTAGAGGCTACATAAGTGTTCTAATTTTAATCCAGTGAAGATACTTGTTACAATTTGGTGTATTTTTCTGTGATTTCACTACATTTTTTTGTTTGTTTGTTTGTTTGAGACAGGGTTTCTCTGTATTGCTTTGGAGCCTGTTCTGGAACTAGCTCTATAGACCAGGCTGACCTCCAACTCACAGAGATCCACCTGCCTCTGCCTCCTGAGTGCTGGGATTAGAGGCATGCAACCCCAACGGTCGGTGTGATTTCACTAAGTTTTTAATTTATCATGTGATTGGTACAAAGGGAAAAAAAATGTTTTCAAATGATTGGATCATGGGAAAAACAAAGTTAAAACAACTTCCAAAGGTGGTTGTTCAGGGAACGTCAGAGTAATGAGACAAGACCCCACTTGTCACAAATAATTTATTTAACTAGCAAGCAAATACTTGGGGAAAATGTTAACGCTCAAAGACTGGGTAGAAGGAAAAGCTGAGGAGAGACTGGGGAGAAGTCTGCTGGCAGCACATTGCTGTTAAGGTTCCCACGTTCCATTTTCAGCTTCTCTTCCATTTGGACTTAAATTTTACGAAAGTACAGTACCCAAGTGAACATGCTAATGTGAGTCAAATTTCCCTTCTTCTCTTGTTTTCACATAAAAGTTACAGGATGTTTTCATTTAGTTATTCTTAAGGCAATACAGGAAAACGGGAACAAAACTAACCAAAATGAGAGTATAATTATAATAATAGGAAACATTTGTGGACTGTTTATAGACACCATGTTGAGTATATTCTGCCTATTAGCTCATTTAATCCTCATAATAACTTTATGAGCATGATAATGTAATTGACATTTAAACAAACCTAGGCTTAAATACTTGTGCCAGGTGGCATAGCAAGCTAGGAGTAATTAGGAGGCCATTGTAATTCAAAGCAACAAATGGAAAGGTCTAGTCTAAGGTAATGGCACAGAGCCAGGAAAACTTCAAGAACAAAAGGTTTTATACATGACATGTAACAAAGGAGGAGTCAAGAATAACTTCTAAGTATCTGGATCATAAAGTGGATACATTTTTGTTTAAATGAGTGAACAGTTTTGATAATGGAAATTCTAGGAGGCATTTAATGTATCTGTTGTCAGTATATTTCCAAATGCCTGGGAAACCTGTCTAAGTGTTCTCTTGGCTCTGTTTGATCTTCCTGTAGAATGCCCCACCAGGGCATCATGAGTCCACCTATCTTCCTTCAGCCTGTATCACTCCTTTATTTAGCAATGTACTTTAAACATACGTGCCTTCTATTTTTCCTGAGTGGCAAGTTACTGCCCTTGCTGGGATCTCTGTACTGACTAATTCCATTTACTGAAATATTCTTTGCCAACAACTTGCCCAGGGGTTTCCCTTCCCAACCCTTCATCCTGAGCACTTTTCATCCGTGTTGTCATATTTTAATGGTTGCTTACATTCTTTGTGTGATGTACTCATGAGAGCAGGAACTAAGTAGACATGAAGACAGACAGTACCAAACATACATAAATTCAATCAACATAATGCTTAGAGTAATTAAGTTCAACACAGAAACTCAGAGCGACTTTTTAAACCACTTAGGAAAACTTGTTTACCTTATTTAATAAAGCAAAAATGTGAATTCAAACATAAATGTTATACCAATTCATAATTGGCAAGTAAACCTGACATTTTTATAAGTAATTTTATACACAGTGACCCTGTTACAAAAATCATAGTATTTAATTTTGTTATCTCCTTGGTAGCATAGTTTAGAAATGGAAAACTCTAGGACTTGAGGGAAAAGACATCTTTGTAATTACAGATGTCTAAATTTAAATTTTCTCTTGCAGGCTCAGTGTCAGGATATAGTTCCAACCATAGGATTCAGCATAGAGAAATTCAAGTCCTCCAGGTAACCACCTTCTCTCTGTGACTCCAACACTGAATGTCTCCATACTGACCCGGAAATCAGTTGTCATTTCCAATCCTCATGGGTCTGGGCCTTTTTGTACCACTACCTTTAGTTCATTCTCAGCCCTTAAAGCTTAGACTACTGTGAAAACCTCATTAGCAAAGGAAATATCTTCAGGTTATTTCATTGCAAAATCATATTTAGAGTAATAAATTTATTTTTAGTTTTTTCTTTTTTCTTCAATATTGACCACATTTATTATTTTATAGCCATGTTAATTTATCTAATAGAAAAATAACAAGATATTAAAAAAATAAACATTTAATTTACTTGCTTAAAAATGTAGTAATGTCTTTTTTTTTATAGTTTGTCTTTTACAGTGTTTGACATGTCAGGGCAAGGAAGATACAGGAATCTCTGGGAACACTATTATAAGTAAGTATTTTCATGAATAATGCTCAACTACATGGCTACATTTGACTATCAAATATTGATTAAAAATATAAGCAATTATATGGTTTCTGCTATAATAATGCAACTTCATATACTTCATGACACTGTCCCTATGTTCTTATCTCTGTCCATTTCTGTCTGTGGTTAATACAGCTACACCTTAAGAACCAACTGTCATGCTATGTGTAGGGCACATATCTACAATCCTAGTACTTGTAACTCTAAGGAAGAAGGATCACAATTTAAGGCCAGCCTGGATTCAAAGCCAGGCTGTTTCCAGTGTCTATGCAATACTTTGTCCACATACATTTGTGTAATCAGGTACCACAGCTGAAATTATTACTATTCAAATCACTTCGTCAAGAAGCAGCTCATAATCAGAATCATTACTGACCACATTTTGTTAAAATAACAAGATTGTTTAACAGCTGATGACTTGTTTTACAAATGTTTCCAAACAAGGTATTTTTCAGAGTATACAGACACAATGTTCAATAAATACTTCAGATATAACACTGCCAACTTACCAGGATCCAGAGGCTTTATACCCATTAAGATTGCATGTGGTGGTAAAATGATATCATCATGCTATTTCTTTCTGTTATACAGAGATGGACAAGCCATTATTTTTGTCATTGATAGTAGTGATAAACTAAGAATGGTTGTGGCCAAAGAAGAACTTGATACCCTTCTAAATCACCCAGGTATCTGTGTAATCTCTTCCATGATGTCTGTGCTCTGGGTTCTATCTGTATGTGTTGGTTGTTTTTTAGTTTAAGAAAAAGTTGTTTATGAGATGGAATTACTTTACAACTTACTGATTATACAAAATTTATAAAAGCTTTGTCTAAATTTTTTTAATATCAAAGTTTCATAAGGTATTTTGTTGTTGTTGTGTTTTGTTTTGGGGGTCTACTGGCATTTATTTCTTTAACATTAACAATCCTCTACTTTCCTAAATAAATAATATATAGTAATAAGAGAAGTTTTGATTTCTCTGTTTGGATGAATGTTTAACTGTGCACCTTGAAGTGTTTGTGAATGGGTGATAGTGAAGAACCAACAATTCATCTTATTTCAGTTTTAAGGGTTTGGGGGAAAGTGGTCCAAAACACACAGTGTTGTGATGGTGTCTTCCTTTTTTAGATATTAAGCACCGCCGGATTCCAATCTTGTTCTTTGCAAACAAAATGGATCTTAGAGATGCAGTGACATCTGTGAAAGTATCTCAGTTGCTGTGCTTGGAGAACATCAAAGACAAGCCGTGGCATATTTGGTAAAAAATTCATTTCTCATTTTGTCTTTCTGAAAAGTCTGTGAAATGTAGGGTTCTGTTTAGGTGTTTTGTTGTTATTTTTTCACATCAATTTATAAATGGCAAACATGGTAGAATGCAAGCAAAGTATTCCACAGAATTGTGGAATTCAGGTACTCAGGAAAGATTGCTGTTAACTTTTCAAAGTGTATTTTTAAAAATCTTATAAGGAAAAACATAAATAAAATAATCCACTTGCTATCCTGTCTTCAACCACAGTGACTTCATTTTTCACCTGAAATCAGCCAAGCCCAATCCTTTCTTGGGATATGTGCACTCTGTATCACCTCCTCTAAATCTTTCTCCAGGTTAATGCTCCTGGATTGCTATTGTATTTCATCATTACCATGTGACCTCTTTTGCTTTTTATTTTGGTGGTAGTTTGTCTTCCTAATACTCGTGTAGCTCTCTGGGAGTTGCATTTTTGCCAGGTTTGCTTAATACCTTAGTTTTCTTTTCCCAGTCCTCTGGCTGGTACATAATACATATACTATAAATACTTGTTCAAACGACGAAGTAGAGATAATGGTTATATATGGACATACTAGTAAACAGTGTATGAAATTGCTATGCATCATTTATTTAGGAAACAGTTTCTTAATCAACTCCTTTGTGCTGCCTTCCTGAGATCCTCTTTTGCTATGTACCCACCTACCCTCCCACGCCCCAAAATTTCCTTCTTAGTTTCCCCACTTTTCATAAGAGTTACAGTGATAAGGGAAGCTGAGACTCCAAGCAGAGAAGGCTACTGACTCTAGACGTGACCTAGACTGTAAGCAAGAAAGAGGAGCCTATGAATCCCAACATGGAGTGCGGGTTGGGAATTCCATTCCTAGCAGCATTTTTAAAGTTACTTGAGAGGAAGAGTTTAGTTTTCTTTAAGGGTGTGACCCTTGATGGGTCAACCACACATCGTGGGGGGGGGGGACACACCCCACTCCTAGAACTGTTTGGGAGTAATACAGACTGGATTCCCTGGGTTTTAAAAAAAGAGAGATCATGAAGTTGGATGGGTAAGGAGATGGGAGTGAATGTGATCAAAATAGATTGCATGAAACTGCAAAGAATGAATAAAATATTTTCAAGAAGAAAAACTCTTTAAGAACTAGCCGTGGTACTGAACAGAATAGCATTTAAGTAAACCCTGGAGACATGTCAGGAGTCTCTGAGGCACCGCATCCCTCTGCCAAGGACAGAAACAGGGAAACCTTCCTTGTTCTTGAGTGGGGGTGCAGGGTGCTACTCTATGGTTGGTGATTTTGAATATAAGGTCTGGTAATGTTTGGTAGTTAAAGGAGAGTGGGATTTTAGTCAGAGAAGAATTTTTGAAATAGAACCTTTACTATCACAAACCATTAGATTCCAAAGACAACATAAATTAAAATAAATACTAATGGCTTGCTTTGTACAGAGCATTGTGGTGTTTTGACAGGAGTTACTGTATCGAAGAAATGCCAGTTCAATAACTAATAGGTGAATCTAAACAGATTTATTTATTCAGTTATGACATCTCAAGATGTCTCTGTGTGAAAAGTGAAATCATGATGCTCTGAGGATATTATATTCCTAGTTCTGTGTTCTTCATATAACATAGCAAAATGCCAAGAATTTTTTAAAGCTGTCTGTAACTTTACTTCTCCTTAATTCAAACTGGACAGCATGTTGCTAAATTCACCAGTGGACAAGGAGTTCTTTCCTGTATTCTTGTCTAGATTTGTATGTGCCAAAATCAACAGCTTAGATTTTTGATAAAAGTGTTTTAGTTCATGATGCCTCACTGTTATAATGTGTAATTAAGAAATATGCTTTGAATAATTGTTTACTGTTTGTTTCTGACTTCTTACTTGAAAAAATTCTTCACTAACCCTAGTCTCAATTTAACAAGTAATTCCTTGGCAGTAACTTTTTTAGTTAGAACTAGATTAATTATTTAGGTTTCTCTACTATGTTTTAGGTGATGCTTCCCCGCTAAGGGAATGCTATAAAATAATCTCTAATTATTCAGAAATTTTAATTATATAGATTTTAAATAAGTTGCTAGATCTGTGACACATAGTATTGGTCTACATATCTCAAAAGGATTAAATGAACTTTTACCACTTTAGTTTTATATTCTATAAATAACTGTAGATGATATATCACATTAGAGGCTTAAGAATGGGAGACAATGGAAGCTCTTTGCTTTTACATGCATGCCTCAAATATATAATTACAATAACCATATTAGGTCAGTGATAGTATCCCACAGTTGCAGATGCTGTAGGTTATTGCAATAGTAAATATAAAAGTACAATTGAAATTGACTAGAATTTTGTTTTCCTCTAATAGATTATAAAAATTTATGAGTACCTGGGGGTGGTGGTGCATGACTTTAATCCCAGACTTGGGAGGCAGAGGCAGGCAAATCTCTTGAGTTTGAGGCCAGCCTGGTCTACAGAGTGAGTTCCAGGATAGCCCAGGCCACACAGAGAAACCCTGTCTCAGGAAAAAAAAAAAAAGGTTATGGGCTGTACATGGTGGTTCATAACTGTACTTCCTGTATTTGCAGGGTGGATGCTAAAGTCCAATCAATACATAGCAAGTTTGAGGCTAGCTTGAACTCTGAGAGACTCTGCCTCAAAAACAAAACAGCGACAGAACCCACATTATAATTATGGGTTTTCATTCACTCTATAGATAACAAGTTCCATTTCAAATGAAGTCAGTTGATTCCGTGATCTAAGTCAAACATTTCTAACAGGTAAATGCTGTTGGAGCTCTGGGTAGACCGAGGGAGGACAGTGAACCCTAGAAAATTTTAGTGAGAAAAATAACCTCGTGTTTATGTGTTCTTAACACAACTCGACATTCTCAAAATTTGTCTCGGTTGTCTTTTTTTTGACCAAGTCCTCGGAGTCTTAAGTTCCTATTTCAGTACTTAATCAGTTTTCCACAGGTGTATGTTATTAGTATATATTTCTTTGAAATATGGCAAAAAGTGTTATTTCACTCCTAGATCTGTATGATGCCGTAACATGGCTGTCTTGTGTGACTTTGATTTCAGTGCTAGTGATGCCATCAAAGGAGAAGGGCTACAGGAAGGCGTGGACTGGCTTCAAGGTACATCGCACACCACTGTGCAAACGCAGCCTGTTTCTCTTTCAGTTGTTTCATTTCATTTTTATATTTTAATTATATTACACCAGTGCCCCCTTCTTTTTATTTCTGCTGCCAGAAAAGACAGTACAGTAAGTATTCAGTACCTTGCTGCATTTACTGTATTTTTCTGGCAGACTTAATTAAAGTGTTTCTGTGATTTTATTCACTATGTATAGCAGATCTAGAAAATGATTTTAATTTATGGACCCAGATTTTCATTATATCTAGCAATTGAAAAACACATTTCAAGTTTGGGACAAATGCTAGTTTGGCCTTACTGTTAATATCTAGGACCAAATGACAACTTTTTTGTTTATCAGTCATGCTGTTTAGCACTCCATATATAATAACCCCTTTTATACATATCATATATGCTCAAGCTTTAACACGTACTTAGTATTATAAATACTATTATGCTATTGATATCTTACTTATTTTCAGTCTATTTTTTTTTAAATCAAAATAGCCATACCACATCACTACTATATTAGAGAATACATTAACATATAGATTTCCCTAGGGTTATATTATCTACTATGTATAAAAAAAAAAGCTTGAAGCATGCAGAGCAATAGATAGTGTGTGTTCTGTATGTCTGTTCTATAGCATCTTTATGACTAAGTCAGACGATTTCAATTTAAGCAGAATTCCTGACTGTTCATTCTTACTGGGATGAAGATACAAATCCTAATTACAATTTGTGGTTGTATGTACTATTTCCTTCTACAGTAGCTTTTAATATTAGATATGTGTAGTACCCTTTTTCATTTTTCTTCTTCCATCTTTTGGAAGCCTGTTATGTTAGATGGAAGAATAATCAGTAATCGGCAAACGTAAAATTTGCTCTTCTAGTGAATTCCACACAGGGACTTTTAACTTCTTCCCTTTTTTAAGGTGGGAAGGTTGAAACAAGGTTTCTCTGTATAGCCTTGGATGTCCTAGAACTCACTCTGTAGACCAGCTGGCCTCAAAACTCAGAGATCTGTCTGCCTCTGCTTCCTGAGTGCTGGAATTAGAGGTGTGTGCCACCACTGCCTGGTTTTATTTCTAGCTTGTATTTATTCAGTCAAAACATTTACTGTTAAATTACAAAGAGCATTCTAGTCATATTTTATAAGCAAATGAAACAAACATCACTGATGGCTCTCAAAATTAGTGAAGGAATTATTTCTTTGAACCCAGAAACTTCATGTTTCAAATTATTGTAAGAGGTGTTCAGGGTTCTAGCATGGATTTCCAGAAGAAACTGATTGGTTGCAGAGTAAAACCCCAGGAAAGGTAGAGAAGGGTATTTCTTCCCTTACTGATGTGACGATACTTGTTGCAGCATGCAGCGGAAGCCCTGCAGTACTTTAGTGTAGTGTGATTCTGAGTACAGTACTGGACAGAAAGAAGATGATTTACCTTCATGCTCCTTTCTCCCTCAACTCCATAGTTATAGTTTTATTTTTTTAATATGTAGAAATAGCCACTAGGTGTCAGTAATGATCCAATTTTACAGTACCAATTTTCAACTCTCCTTGGTACCAATTGTTTTTCTGTTCTGATCTGTTATCTTCTTCTGTCCCAAGTTTTTGTGAGAACAGAGTATTGTTAGAAATGGTTTTGTGTCCTTTTGTTGCATCAGTCTCTGCAAGGTAAGTAGGAGCATCATCGTCTGTTCTATGCAACAGGAGGAGGAAGAAAAGAGCTGGCCTTTGAGACAGCTCGTTTATTCCACTTACTATTAACCTCCCTTCACACTAACAGCATCTTTTATTACCATATGAAGTAACTGTCACATCTGGAACATTAAAACCAAATTTCATAAAATAGTGTGCAAATGTGTTAAAGTACAATACATAGGAAAGCATTCAGTACATGTCAAAATTACTCTCTTACCTAGGTAACTTATTTAAAAGAGGCAGAAACTGGATAGTTTTTAGAAAATCAAAGAGTATGTCAGTTTGTGTTTGACTAGACAATCATACATTTGTATTTTCCTACAGACTAGTAAATAATGTAGATTTTATTGTTCTCAGTTATCGTTTTGGATATGAAAAGAAGTAATCTGCTCTCTTCAAAACAAGTAATAGTAAATAAAACAGACTAGTCTGCTAGTAACCCATTTGTTAGCTACATACATATAGAAAAATCTAGCTGTAAAAGACCTTTGAACTGAACTACATTCATTTTACTTTCTATTGTGTTAGACAAGGTTCATTTTGTACTCACTTAATCTTATTTCTTTAAGCTTAATATGGGAGTTTTCATAAAATATTAAATGTTACATATGATTATTTTCTCTTGGAAGATTCAGTAATTTTGTATGTATAATAACAAGTATAAAGTTTCTATTTCTAAAATATCCTAGTGAGATTATTGTGGGGGTAAGTAGGTTTATTTCTTGTGTTTTGTTTTTTCTAAGTTTTTCCAAAATAATGAAACTTGTTTTTACCAGCAAGGTAAAAAATCAGTAATGCCTCCTGATTTCAGCCTGTAATCTTGTTTTGTTTTAAATACCAAGAATGTTCCTAAGACATACATCCCAAGTGTTAAGAAATCACAAGTACTCTACTTCTAATCTAGCACTCTAGCCCACCTCTAGATTGTAATATCTCTATTGTACATGCTGTACATGTGAGGATTCTAATGACAATACAGGACTGGACATATAATTCCCGGTATCACCAATGATACAGGCATCGTATGAAAAGATGTTAATTAGCTCTGTGTCCATCAGGAATGGATGTGGTAGAAATGGTGACCCTGTTTGGAAAGCTGGAGAGCTGATGGCTGCTGACGGGCTGAACAGGCCCCCAAAAGGCTAAATCTTAAGTGGGCGCTATGAAATGATAGTACACAGCCTGATTGACTTTGGAGGTCTTCTCAAGGGTTTAGAATATGCTTGTAATTGGAAATAAAGGGCAGATCTGGAGCTGAAAAGAGAAAATATGACTTCCCCCGCCCAGCAACTACAGTAACAAAATGAGTTTCAATGATTATCCTTTGCAAATGTTCAAATACTATGTGTGGACTGGAAAACACCGGACATACACTGTGTGGTAACAGTAAACTGAAAGAAAGGAGGGGATGCAGGTTTTCATAGAAAATGTTGTGACTCTTCTGTCTCCTACTCCGCCAGCAGAAGGAGGCAGAAGGTAGGGAGAGTCATCCGAGGGGTCTGACTATCAAGCAGGCAGGTGCAGCAGTAGGGCCACACAGCTTTAATCCCAGCATTTCAGAGGCAGAGGCAGGTGGGGCTCTGAGTTTAAGGCCAGCCTGGTCTACAGAGTGAGTTCCAGAATAGCATAAGCTACATAGAAAAATCTCATCTCATAAAATGAAAAAACAACAGAAAAAAAAAAAAAAAAAAAAACCCAAAGAGGTCATATTGAGAAGATCCTGTATCTAAACAAGAGACAGTTTAGAAAGAGAACCAAGAAAATAGGGAGGACTAATGGGTCATCAAAAAGTGTTTGCTAGAACTGATTCTTGTGAGCCCAGTGCAGGGGAAGAAAATATTCTTACCCAAGGCACGTCATTAGTAAGAATCAACCCTGAAGACAGTGGAAACTTGTGCAACCCAAAGCTAGTAGCGCTCATCTGTAATCCATTGTGCCTATGGCAAGATGGAAGGCAGAGATGGAGAATCCACAGAAGTCTGTGGCTCAGCTAGCCTGGTGTTAACAACGACAAACACTAAAGTCCTGCTTTAAGACAGAAGACAAGGACTACCCCCAGGTTGACCTCTGACCTCCACACACATGAATCTGCACACACATGCATCGTACACTCTCATCATAAGGGCAGAAAAGGGAGAAATGAAGGATGGCTAAATGTGTTAGGAACTAGGAAAACCAGCACAGGAATGGAGGGACAAATCCCTGGGCTGTTAATAAAATCCTAGACTGATAATGAAAGAGATCTCAAGAATAACTGGCAAGCAAAGAAAGGGGAAATCTAGGTTGCAGAATCCTTGTGATATTTAGAAAACTATTCTTCAAGAAGGTGTAAACAGCTGGGTGGTGGTGGCACACACCTTTAATCCCAGCACTCAGAAAGCAGAAGCAAACAGATCTCTGTGAGTTTGAGGCCAGCCTGATCTACAGAGCGAATTTCAGGACAGACTGTAAAGCAATACAGAGAAACCCTGCCTCGAAAAACAAAACAAAACAAAAAAAAGGTGAAAGCAGGAACTAAAGAGATTGTTCATTGTTTAAGGCTGTTCTTCTCAAGAACCTGGGCTAAATTCCCAGTACCCTCATGGGGCCTCACAACTATCGGTGACTCCAGTTCCAGTTGCTAGCATCTGTAGGCACCAGGCATGAACATGGTACACAGATATTCATGTAGGAAAAACACCCATACATATAATTGTTTTAAAAGAAAGTGATAATGATGGGTTATAGAATGTTTCATATGTGAGAGTATTTGGGTTGAGTTAGTGTTAGATCTGCTAAACACACACACACACACACACACACACAAAAGGAAGGGGAATAAACTAAATAAATGGGCTTGGTTGAGATGATTTATTTTAGGGAAAACAAAATTTAGAAGAAGAAAGCATACATACCACCTGTCAGAGGGCTGACTGACATTGACACATTGACATAGTCACACAGATAACCATGGCCCTAACTGAGTTGCAAGTATTGAGGCCATAAAGGAAGAGCTGGATGGGAGTGTGAGAGCTGATGTCTGTTAAGGCTACTGATATTGCAAGAATTACTTTGTGTTTAGTGAGTAGTAAGTAATTACCTAGGAGAAGATTAACTGTAAGTATTAGATTCCAAAAATGACTGATGATCAAAGGAACTGCTACATCTTTCTAATAAGCTTGTTGAACTAGCTAATTTTTTATCTACTTACAGCTTATATAAAAATTATCACAGTGGTATTAATTGTGCCTTAGGAAAAGAGCTAAGCAGATAGGGTCTCTGTGTTATATAGATTGACCTTGAGTTGACTTAGAGAATAGGGTGGTGGCTGTTTCCCTTGTCAGGCTGATAATGGTTTTGTCTGTTTGTTATCAGATCAGATCCAAGCTGTGAAGACATGAAAAGATAGTCCCTGGAAACCTCAGCAATTTTCAATTAAAGGAGTCTGTGTAACGCATACTGAATAATTTCAAATTTATTTTAAAAGATTTATGCGACCAAGAATATTTTACAATGTTCTTCTTGCTTTTGTGGACTCTGGAAGAAGTTTTTAAGAAGTTAGAACCTGAGACATTGTTAATCTGACCATTAACAATATGAAAACTAACATTACCTCGGAACGCCTTAGTTACCAGCTTCTTGTAAAGGTCTACATGTTGCTGTAATTAGAATGTGTAAATAAGTTGTAAGCCATCCCAACATCCTATCATGATTTATGGTATCTTTAATGTATTTTTAATTGTATTCTAAAGTTTAGTTTATGGTATGACTTTGGAGCTGGAATTGTGTTAGGGAGACAGCTTTCAAGCATTATAAGGGATCACAGATAATTGGTATATGTAATCTTTTTGTGTCACTATCAATAAAAAATGAAATATACCAACTAGAGTGCTTTGTTCATGCTAAATAATAATGTGTTGGTATGGTGTGTGGTGTTTTATTGCCAGTCATTATCTGAGGCCAACTAAACTAAATTTGTTTCTCATTGCTAACTGAATAGTTCCGTACTTTGTGATCAGACATTGCCCTGTAAACCTGCATGTATGTTTTTCCCTTCATAGTCATGAAGGCTTGGGTGTGTGGTCAGCCCATTCTTTTGAAACAGTCATATGAGTAAAATGACTTCATGGAAATCAGCTTAATGAGGGATACTCTGGGGAAATTTTACAAAGGATGTTTCGTTTTGTTTTTCAAGACAGGGTTTCTCTATGTAACAGTCCTAGCTGACATGGAACTCTCTTTGTAGACCAGGCTGGCCTTGAACTCACAGAGATCCTCCTGCCTCTGCCTCCCAAGTACTGGGATTAAAGGCATGCACCACCGCTGCCCAGCTCATTTTACACATGCTTAAAAATTTTTTATTTCATTAGCTGAATGAAAATTTTACATCTTCAAATTAATAAATTAAAATTTACTAAGTATTTCACATAATGTTTCTATAACTGCCTTTTTTTTTCTCTTAACATGCCTCTCTGTGTTTCTGTTATAACAGAATATAGTAGGTAATTTTTAAAAAGAGAGAAAAGGAAGGAAGAAAGATTTATTCTTGTTCAGATTTTGAAGGCTTCTGTTTGTGCTTAGCTCTGTGTTCAGTCTGTGCCCAGGCAGTTTCGTGGCTGTAGGACATGGCAGAGAAACTCTTCATTTCCAAGCTAAGAAGCAAAGAAAGAAGAGAAAGGTCTGAGGGAACAACCCATTCATGGGTCCATCCTCACCTCACTGTTTAAGCAGCCTGCAGGGTACAGTCATATTCTAAACAGCAGATTCCAGTTCCTCAGCAAACTATTTATAAGCTGCTGTGTCAGTGACCTTTAGTTTTAGGTAAATCTCAGGTCAGAGGACAACTTTCAGGAGCTGCTTCTCCATTTCCACCATGTGGGTCCTGGGAGTGAACTCTTGGGTCTTTGGTTTGGCATCAAGTACCTTTACCTATAGTGCCAACCTCACAGCCTGTAATACCATTTACAGAAAGAAACAAAACAAAACAACAAACAAAAAACAGATACGTTGTAGCAATTTTAGGAGGGCAGAGAAAGAAATCTTCACCTATGGTGTATTATTACAAATTCAGAACTTTACATCATTAAGTCTGCACGACCCTGTGTGCCGTGTCCTATTGGCTCTGTTTTGTACATTAAGACTTTTGGACCTGTTATGTGAGACTTGTCCTGGGAAAATAATGAAGAAACATCTTCTCAGCCTAGAAAGGGCACCAATAGCACACCAATTAAATGAATCTAATGAAGTATGTCTTGTGTTTACTATGGCTACTTACTCCAGAGTGTGAGTGAAGGGTTACTGACAGAATTGTGGACAGCTCAGAGTCAGCCATTTTGCCATGATCTCCAGTCCTCCCAGCATGGCTGGTGACTCAGAAAACCTGCATCCATGAGGTCAGCACATAGGCGGACAATTCCACTGGTCAAAATTCCCTCTGGAAGTGGTGCTTACTACTTATGTTTAGTACTCTGATTCAGGTGAGTTTCAAGGACTTCCCAAGACTTGGAAGTTGTTTACTTCTTGTATCTGACTGAGCTGCCCTTTAGAAGTTTTGGATCCTAAAGGAATTGCCCTCCAGGGTAGAATGTTTCATTTCAGAGAAAATTGCTTCACTATTGAGACATTTTTATATTTGAGATTTGATGATTTGATGAAGGCCCAAGAGCTGGGAAATGCTGGTGCTGAGCTTCAAAACCAAGTGCTCCATTCAGAACAGCTGATACAAAATAGATAAGAGAAATACAGGTATTATTTGGTAATGTTACTAAAACTAAAATTGATTGGAAAAACCATAAGCTAGCAACTACTAGAGGTGTTGTTCGTTTTGTTTGTTGGCTTTTCAGTTTAAGTCTGCCCACTAAAATTTTATTCTCTGGGCCTAGATGAGATGAGTACATTAGACTCTGACAAGTTAGATAAAAGTAACTCTTAAAAAAAAAAAAAAAAAAAAACTACATAAGCCTACACCAAGCAGTAATTCACACATACGGAAATATTTAGAAGAAAAAATACTTTCCCCTTGTTTCCATTAAACCTATTAATGTTTTATAAACATTATTTATCACTATACTTCATTTTCAAAGCAAGATTCTCGAGAAGCAAATTGTATAATAACATAGGACATCATATGTATATAAGCTGAAATCATTGCATTTGTGTTTAACATTATATACTTGCAATGTATCTCAAAGTTGAAACAACTGTTTTTTCATATTTATACATCATCAGCATTGAAAAGTTTAAGCTCTGTATTTTAACAGAGCATTTTGTAAAATGTTCAGATATTATGGCACTGTTTAAATATTTCTGTATTGATCTATCCAGACTGTTTTATAAATCATAGAAGAACTGAGTTTTATATATTTTTCAGTTATAGGTTCTGATACAAAATTATGAATTATATCCTAATTGAAATTTTTTTCTTTCAGAATTTTGGCATACCAGTGTTACGATTTTCATAATTATATTCATTTACTTGTGAAAACACTTGCTTAATTCAGGTTGCTATAACAGAATAGCCATAGTCTTGGCAGCTCACATACAACAGAAGTTGTAGGAATGGAGATCTGCTATCAGGCTGCCAGTGCTTTAAGGTTCTGTTGAGAGCCTTCTTCTCATCCACAGAGTTCCATCTTTTCATTGTACCCCATCAGAAAGGAGGGAAAACACTGTGGGTGTCTTTTATAAGAGCTGGAAGGCCATTATATCCTTAGAGAGCTCCACCATTTTGAACTAATTACTTCCCAAATACTGTTCCTCCTAATATCACACGGGTGTTTAGGATTTCAACCTGTGCGTTTTGTGTAAACATAGGGCAAATTCAATGTGCTAATCACTCCAGTATGTTAAATAAAATACATCAATTTACCTGATTTTATGTATAGTATCTATTCTCTTACTGTCTTTCTATTTCATAGTTTAAAACATATTGGATGCTCACCGTGCTCTAATATAACATAAAGAAAGAGGATTTATGTTGACTTAACATTCCTGGAGATTCAGTCCATCATAGTAGAAATAGTATGGTACCAGCAGGAGTAAGCAATTGGGCTCTTTGTATCCACAGTCAGGAAGCAGAGACTGATTAGTTCTTGTACTCAGATTGTATTCTTATTCTGTCTAGGACCCCAGCCTGTGGAATGATACCTCCCACATTTAGGATGAGTCTCCCTCTGTCGATTTAGATAATCCTTCAGACATGCTCAGTGATTTGTTTTCATAATGATTCCAAATCCCATCAAGTTCCAGTGAAGATTAACTATTACAACTCCTATCATTGTCAGCATGGCCCAAACACATCACTTTTAAATTTCCATTCCTTGTTCTCATAAGCTTATGGCCATCTCATAATGTGGAATACATTCGGTCCAATATCAAAGTGCCTGTAGCCTTTAATAATTACTACACTGGTTATAAATCCAAAGCTCAAGTCTCATCAGAGATCAAGGCAATTTTTTAACTCTGAGCAAAAAAAAAAAAAAAATCAAAAACATGTTACAACCTATATAGAACAGTACAGAATAAACATTCCTCTTTTAAAGGGGTTAAATAAGGACATAGCAAAGAATGGTTGGACAAAAGCAAGACTGAAATCCAGCAAAGCAAGTGCCAATCCTGAAGCCCTGACATCTGTAGCAAGTGGAATCCTCTGGGCTCCGAAGGGTCTGGACCACCCCACCCACCTGCTCTGCCACCTCTAATACCTTATCCTCTTTCTTGGGCAAGTTTCACTCTCCACTGCAGCTTTCTTGGTAGATGTTTCATGGTCCTAGCATCTCCAATTTTTTTTTGGGGGGGGGGAATGAGAGAGTCTCAATTACAACTCAGGTTTGACCTTCATATAATCGTGGTGCCGGGCTTTTGCCCTGTCACATGTTGCCTGGCCTCATTGGCTCTCTGGAAGCAGGGCAGCAGAGAGTCATTCAGGCCCTGGATGTGACACCTTTCATGTAACACAACAGCACTGCAAATGCCGCCCACCACCGTGTCTGCTCTTCCCTCTGCCTTAAATGCCTCTCTGCAAGAGCAGTATGTACTCTTGAACGCTGAGCAACCTCTGCAGCCCCATGTCTGCACTGCTTAACAGCTGCACTAGCAAGCTGACAGGAATTCCAGGAAGCAGCTGTGAGCAAGGAGCTTCACAGAAGACTGGCAGGCAGCTGTCAGAACGATCCCTTGCTCACCTGATTTTCCTCCTAAATTAGATAGTTGGTCAATAATAATAATACTTCCAACTTGAATGAGACGGACTGGTCGAACCCGTCCAAGGTAGTAATTGGCAGTTGTAAACTCAAATTACATAGGTCGCATTGGGATTGGGGCAGCAGTTTCTCCACCTGCATATTTGTCATACCTATCATTTTCGTTTACTTTTCAGTTATGCAATTTTGAAAAGGTCAAGTGAGCGCAGTAAAGAGTTCACTTGCAAGTAGTTTCATGTTAATATACCAAACCCACAGATGCCGTGTATTACACACGTGGCTGATGCTTCTTAACTGAGAGGCATCCATTTATTGTCTTATTTCCTGACCAAAATAGCTAGAAGCCAAAGCAGATATTAAGTATATGTTTGTCATTGGCATATTATGCAATACATGTTATTCTGGGTTTTGTTTTGTTTGTTTTGACTAGCATGATATTCCTATTACAGATCTGTGCCAGGAAGTGTTTAAAGTATGTGCCGGTTGGAGAACTGGCAAAGTGTGTCTGTCACTTTTCCTTCGCATCCCTGTGTGCCTGTTGCCCATGGGTTACATTGATCACATAGTGTTGCCAGCATGCCACTCTCCGCTGTGCGTCTCCTCAGACAGCTAGCTGCAGGCCTGGATCACCGCTTTGTGCTCCAATCACTAAGCATTTGGCCAGGAAGTATTGAACAAATGCA